GCTCACCCTTTGGACCGTTTGTTAACATCGCTAGGAGTTTAGTGTCTTTCTCTAACCACTTAGTCTCTAACTCCTCCAAGGACTCGAACACATCCATTGAACAGAGTATCGACTGGTACGGATCTGTTTGCGGGGCAATATAGGGGTCAATAGCCTTGGCCATCATTTGAAACGGAGAGGTAAGGAAACCACTTCAACACGAGTAAGTGTTTCCCTGCAAGGCGCTCGCAGAAGCACAAGCGGAGTTGAGAGATCCAACAACCACTATAGAGGATGCTACCTTCTTGGTGACCCGCTTACTCTTGCATCGGCTCATTGTGTGTCCATACTAGCCACAATTGAAACACGCGTCTCGTGCAACACGGTCACGCCACACCTCGTCCTCTAGACCAAGTGTCACCTATATAGGGGGTCCTTGGTCTCCTTGACCTTTGGCCGGCTACCCTTTTGTTTCCCACCCCCTTTAGCCTTTTCTCTAATGGCAGTGACTACTCCACCCTCTGAAGTCTCCCCACTCCCATCTATCTCTGTCTCTTCCCCAAGGTCAGAGAAGTCGTCAATGTCAGTCACCTGATCACCGTGGTCAACGAACATGAGATTGCCCTTCTTCCTCCAATCCTGAGAATGCTTCTTCTTCCTCCCATCGGTCGCTGCTTGCTGGGCACTCCCAAGTCTGGCCTCTATATCTAAGCCCTTCGTGCTTCGTGCATATCGATGGAGGCCTCATCGACCAACTTATTTTTTACGTTCGTAGGCAGACATTGCAAATATGTTGTCAGAAGTACCTGCGGATCGTACCGCACATCAGGGACAACGATCAAGCACTCTACGGCATTTGTTACCTCGCGAACAGTCTGGTACCTCTTTGATCCCAGACTGGCAAGCGAATCAGTGGCCTTCTGAGCCCCTTGGGGGCATGCCGGCTGTGGTAGACTAGTCGTACGAACTTCTCCAATGTTCTGGCCTGTGCCCAACCATCGGAGTTCTGACCATAGCCGTGCTGTTGTACTAACCCGTTTAACCACCGAGCTGCTGATCCTTCTAGAAAGGATGCAATGACAATGACTTCCTCCTCGGTCCTTGTGAGCTTGTGCCTCACATATGTAGGGACAATCCTCACCCAGGTATCCAGGTATTCTTCCTTCTTCTTCTCACTAGAGAAGTGTTTAGGACTCGGCAAACGTAATTTGGGTGTCCTCTGCATAAAGTGTACAACACCCTGTGCCTGCTGCATCGGTTGGGTAACCGATGGAATAGGACGCTGCGGTTGGTGCAAAGGCTGCAGCACATGCGGCTGCCCTGTAGCAGCCGCCGCTGATAGGGAAAGCGAAGCAGAAGGAACCGGAGTCTGCCCACCACTACCTGTTGCTAAACCACCTGGTGGGCGCATGCCATACAAACGGGTAAAGAATGGTCCCACAGGCGGCAGCGTCATCGAAGGACCTGCAATCGTAGGTGGAGCTACGGTAGGTTGCGCTGGTCTAGGCGTAGGCCTAGACGTTCTAAACGCAACCATGATCTGGTTCTGGTCAGTTATTAGTGCAGTCAGCATTTCCTGCTGTACGGCTTGTACTTCGGCCACACTCAAGAGACTGCGCCGGAGTGACCTAACAGCGGGATAAAGTTCTGACTCATTCCAGCCTACGTAGCTCCTCTGCCCTTGCCTCTAGTCTAGCTTTCCTCGTCCTAGCTCTTTCTCTCCTATCCTCTACTTACTGCAACTGTCGCCGTAACTTTGCATGAGGAGCATCCGTCTGTTGGATCTCATAATCCTCATCTAACATGGGTTGCTGTTGGCTGGCCTGCAAGCCAGCAGACTGACTAACAAAAGGCTGGGTCATTCCCGGACTGACACCTGATGAAGAGGCTTTGATGAGGCCCGTGACATTGTAGAGTCCGTCGCACACTCAAGGCCAGCGTACTAAGCGTGAAGTGCGCAGTATGTTTTTTGCATCGTTGATCATAGAGACTATCACTGTAGAATCAGTGACTGAGGTGAAGTCGTAACATGGTAGATGCTGTGGCCACTGTTAGTGCCCTCTCAGCGTTGGCTGCTGCTTCTCTAGTCCTCTGCAATATGATCCTCTCTCTGGCTTCTCTTCGCTCTCTCCTCTCCTCTCCTAGACCTAACTCCGGAAATGTGATCGGATGACTGTGTGCGCGTCTATGGCTAAGTGTCCTATCGTCTTGGTCGAGTCCTTCAACCTCACTGTCTTCTCCACTCATGAGCTATGCGTGGCATGCGATCTGCACTAGTGTCCTCATTGGGACCTACCACAGCATGGGACCCAACGGATTTATGAAATAATATGAACTAAAATAAATATTTGGTCCAGCGGTGAGAGGAAGTAGTTAAGTGGTAACAGAAAATAGTCTCAGACTCCTTCAAACAATTCTATTTCCATTTCTGACTAACCTAAAACAGATTGCGATGCAGAAAAGAATAAACACCACTCTACCTGCAGCTGTCTGTCAGCTGCCAGCAAAGTCTGTAACAACTTACTAATCAAAAATAAAAATAAAACCATCTGTTGGTGTGCATGCAGAATGGAAATATACAATAATTAACAATCGAGCAGTTTACTGCAATCTTCCCTGCCCCTGTATCCCTGTTGAGTAGTCACTTTGTGTCGACGTCCTGAAGCCCTGGTTCAGCAGCGTGTCTGAAGGTGTGCAATCGGCCCACCCCTGTGCCCCAAGTCTATGCAGAACTGGCCAGCCCCGACCGTACTATTTTTATACTCGCGTACAACATGAGTCGTGTATCCCCGTTGGAGTCTCTTTATAGACGGTTCGGTACTCGTCTCTCCCTCATAGGGCTGGCCTGCCCGACATGACCTCTACAGCACGGCAAGCAGACCAAAGGGCAAGCGGCAAAGCATGCATGTACTAGTCCCAGCGGGTTGGCATGGTGACCATGACCCGAGTGCTTCGTCCAGGGCCCTTCAGAGGCAACGCCCGTCTCCCACCAGCATGCTCCCCGGGAAGAATGTTGACTCTCAAGGTTGAGCGCTCGCGACACCTCGCAATGAGAAGACTCTCAAGACAAGACTCACTTCCTCACGGTAAGAAGCAACAAAGAGGGCAGATAAGGTAAGGAGCAACGTACCTGACAATGCTGCCCCCAACCACAGATTTCTCACCAGTAACCTGACGTGCATTTATGATGACTGGTCGATGCCTCGGCACAACCCACAATACCATGCAGCTCCACCTCGGCTTAAATGCCACGTCAGCGAGCTCTCATCATCCAGTGTGCACCCCTATGTCACCACATAGCCTTCCAGGTGCGCCCACACGACACTGGGCTGCCTATCCACCAACACACAAGTGTTATCACTGCCCCACCATATCCAGTGAAGCACCAAACAGCTACTGCGAAGGAGCCAGCGGAGCGGCTCGAACCAGCTCCGATACCAAATTGCAAGGAAAATGAGCAATAATGAAATGGCAGAATTCCAGGTTGCAAATCACATCGAAAGCCGGATAGTTGAACGCTGTCCAGAAAGCAGAATTGCACTGATATTTCACCGAAAGAGAACCAAAGCATTGAACTCAATTGTCAATGAGAGCATATACTCGCCACCACCAACATTGCAATCGTAGCTCTTCCTCCTACTGGCGCTCAGCGCCCAGACTACTAACCTACAGCTACCCTACAAGCAATGAAAAGACAAGCAACTTGTTGATGTCAGCAGCAGCAACAAAAGTAAATGCAGATGTCGACCATGCGGACCATCACCAAGACCTGGTACGTGCCCTCATGTCATCATTCTCATCTCTCTCTCCCTCTCCCTTGTCTTCTTCACCCACTTCTCCCTCACACGAAGACCACGACCAGATCCCGCTGACCTTCATTCAAGCCAAGCCCGGCTATGGTGGGCGTGGCTATGGCGCTGCCCCGCTCGCAGTGCCCTGCCTTCTTTCAGCGCCCGCTCGCACTGCCCGGCACTGCCCGGCACTGCCCGGCACCTAACGCTAGCGCACAGCAAGCAGCCTGCAAGCGCACACTCCAACAGTGCTGCCGTTTGCACGAGCCAGTGCCCGAATGCCTTCCACGAAGCCCGGCCCTTTCCTATATGGAAAGCGGCGGGCTCGTTGCCACTGGCTTGCCCCGTGAGACCGAGTGTCTAGTAGCTTCAGTCTCGGCCAAAGTGTCTGTGCCCAGGCCCGTTCAGACAATGGCCTGGGAATGAATTCGTTAGGCAAGCCCAACCACCCAGGCACAAACGTGCAATGTTCCCTGCTTTTACCACGTTGCTGGAAGAGCCTGGAAGGGTCACAAATATTTCAAATTCTCACAAGCAAGGCGGATGTAACTAACTGGCGCGTGGCAACTGTCTGGCGCCCAAGAAGATTTGCCAAAATTGACGAATTCAGGGCTCAATGAGATTCCGGGGCCCGCCTTCACTTAGGGGGGGCACACTCTTGCTGCAGGGCCCTTATGCAGGTATGTCGAGTAGTAAAATCCTCGCATTAGTGGAGCGAGGCCCATCATCTGCACTCATTTAAGGTGTGCACTGTGCTAGTCAATTCCTCTGGTCACATCAAGTCGTCTTCTCCTCATCGGGGCACAGCTGTATTTATATTTTTCTCTCACTTTTTCCTCATATAAATGCACCTTTGCAGCATGGGACGGTAAGGGTTATGGGTTGGATTCCCGGCGTCCCATCATTCTCCTTAATGAATCCCAGCCTTCTACCCAACTCTGCTCTATGCGGGAGCAGTACCCCTGCTCCTAACACCTGGCGCGAGCTGGAAAGCGCGGAGACACTTCCACAACCAGCCATTGCACTGGTCATTCGTCTATGATTTCGATCGGGTGCATGAGCTTATGTATGCTGAAGTGCTCTGAATGGAGTGTTTGACTGATGTGATGGTTGCTGCAAAGGACATTCCTAAGGGCATACTCACACTAGCAGTTTTCTGAATGTATCTGACCGTAATTATGGCCGTGCCTCTATTCATCTGACCACAATTGTGTCCTAATGTGAGTATGCCCTGAGGATGTCTCTTTCGGTCCAGTTATCAGCATGTTTGCAGTGTACCGAAAGTTTGACACATATTCATTTGTTTGTCATTGCTGTACGTTTTGGGCTGTTGCTTTTTGTCCTGGGGGCTGCAGAACCAATGCGCTGGAAAATGAATCTCCATCGCCATCTCCATCTCCATCTCTGTCCGCGAGTGACAGGAAGGACGTTATCACGATGGTAGAATCTTCGAACAGCGGGTTTGTGGAGGCAGCACGCAATGCTGTACGGACCCTGGGTATTGTAAACCTAGCGATAATCACCTTGAGAATCCGCATTCAATCAGAAGTGTTTGCGATCATGCAGGCTGCACGTAGTGGGAGCGTGTCACCTGATCTATGCGGCAAGACTTCTTTGGGAGGCAGCGCTGCAGAAAGCCGAGATGGTGTGGGCGCAGGTGCTGTTGATGGGGCTGGGAGAAAGAGGAGTGGGATTGCATTGGTAAAGCTGATGACAGAACGGCCTGGTTCACCTACGCAGGTGATTGGCTGCGTTCAACAGTCTGAAGAGGGTAGAGTGCAGCCCAGTAGCGACACTGGAGGTCTGATGATGGGCTCAAAAGGAACGGGAGATGATGTCGATCACGGTACACTTGGGAGCAGCAGCAAAGAGATCTGGGAAAGAGGGGAACATCATGCAGTGAGTTTGATGATATCAAATGAAGCCTTGGTGGAATTGCGAGACGTAATAAAGCAGAGACATTTGGATTTCTTAGAGCTGAAGCAGCTGCATGGAAGTTTAAGGGACGGCCTCGCAAAGATTCTTACAGCAAAAATGGAGAGCGGGGAGCTCTCACACCCTCGTGGAGCCAAAGAGCGGAAGTCAGAGTTCGAAGCGATTGATGAAGAGTGGCGAACGTGCGTTAAGGAGAAATGGCATGCCCTTGAGGAGTTGGGAAACCAGCTCTGTAGTATCAGTGCAGATATCTGTAAATACTCAAATTTTGAGATGAGTGATTGCGACGTGAAACTGGTGGTGGATGAGCTTCAGAAGCTCGTCCAGGATGAGAAAGAAGCGATTGCTGCCATACTTGAGGAGAGGGGGACTGCGTGTTGTTGGCAATCGCACAGTGGTGTTTTGGCCGGAGGCAGCTTGCGGGAGGAGGAGAAGGACTTTGGTCCTATGGAGATGTCAAAACAGGAACCAAAAGAGCACAGGTCTGCTGAAGAAGGGTTGACTATTGTTCCCCTATCTGGCCATCTTGTCTATTCCTTAGTCAAACATCTGCATAGACATTTGACTTCTTTGGAATCGCTTGTCTTGAAGAGTCATAAAGTCTCCCAAAGGCAGCTTGACTGTCTCTATGAGAGGGAGGAAGCTGTTCAGCAGCAGTGGGAACAAGCAGTAACCTGGAGAAAGGCGAGAAACTTGGAGGAAGACATTGCAAAGCAGATGGAACACCTGCGACGAGAAAAAGGTGAGACGGAGACGTTGGTGGCTGAGCAGAAGATGGAAGTCCTGAGGTTGGCCTCCATGCTGGAGACGGCAAGGGAGGAGCTGGGAAGACGGCAATTAGAACTAGATGAGCTGGAGAAGAGGATTAGTGAATCTCAAGATGTCCTTACACAATGCAGGATAGAAAGTGAGGAGAAGAGCTTGAAGAAGGTAGAACTGGAATTGGAGATTGAGAAGAGGCAGGCGGAGGCAGACAGTTTTCTCAGCAGAAGTGAGAGGTTGGAGGCAGAGCTTCACTTGCTGGAGGAACATGTGGGGAGGTATGCTGCAGACAGCGAGCGTGCTAGAATGGAGAAAGCAGAACTTGATCGGTTGAAGCTGAGCTTGGCATCGGAAATCGCGGAATTGATGGAGAAGAGAGATACTCTGGTATCGGAGTTGCGGCACCTGGAAAACGCTGTGGGCGAGGCTGCTGACATGCTGAAAGCAGAAGAGCAGGCTCTTGCACAAAGGGCTGGCCACTTGCGCGAAATGGAGGAACGTTGTGCCGAAATGGGAGCAATGATGGACAAGAAGGAGCAGTTGATTCATGAAGTTGCATCTTTGAAGAGGGAACTTGAGGAATTGGCACAGAGAAGATGGGAGGAGGGTGAGGCGGCTGTGACTTGTGAAAGCGATAGGCTCCATCAGCTAGAGGAAGACTGGAAGTCTCTGAAGTCTGGCATTGAAAATGACTGGGGGACATTCGACCTGCTCAAATGCAATGCAAAGATGGCTGTGGACGTAATGAAGTCAGAATGGTCAGGCTGTGTCGGAAAGGTTATGAAAATTTTGGAGTGGGAGGTCGTCAATCTCGATCAGACGCACAACAGGGAAAGTCTTGACAACGACTCTATGGACAAGGTCGAACTGGGTGAAGGGTTGAGGGAACAGATAGAAGAACTCCGTCGGGTGTTTGTCGCCATGCACCTACAGCTGCTGAAACATCGCAGGCAATGCAAGGAGCAAGAGAGGGCGTTGAGGGTGGCGCAGGCAGGTTTGGAGTCTGCGGAGGGCAAGAGAGAAGAGGTAGAGAAGGAGCTGGCTTTGGCCGAGGCAAAACTCCATTCGGTGGAGGACGAAGTGGAAGGGCTGGAGGAAAAAAAAGAGGTCTTACTGATGGAATTGACATCAGCAGAGGACAAATTGAGCAGTCTTGCTGAGGAAATCGAAGCGGCGAAAAGAAATATCAACGGGTCAAGGATAGAGTGCATGGAAATGGAGGGGGAGAAAGAGCGGTTGAGCAAGGAAGCACGCGCTTTGGAAGAACTGCTGATGAAAAAGGAAGAGAGTCTGAGACGTTCAGAAGCAAGGGTGGGGGATCTGAGGCGAGCTATGGATAATCTCAGAGAAGAGATGGACAAAATGACCACGGAGAAAGAGGAGACAATTGAAGATCTGAAGCGTGCCGAGGGTGATTTGGGGAGGAAGAGGGAAGACGTTGCCATGATGGAGGCAAGAGCAGCTTTTCTGAGCGAACAAATCCGAACATCCGAGGGATTGGCTGAGGGCCTGCGGAGAGAGATAAGAGCCCTCGAGAGCAGGGAGGAGGAGACAAGTACAAGAGTGAAGGCGGTTGAACTGGAATTGTCAGTCGTGTCCGGAAAGTTATCAGAAGCGAGGTCGGTGTTAAGAGAGACAGAAGAAAACTTGACGAGACGGCGAGAGGAGCTGGAAGTGCTGGAGCCTCAGATGCGGCAACGGGAGGGGGAGAAGATGTTGACAGAGGTACAGTCACAGATCGGGCTTGCCATGGAGATGAGGGAGAGATTGAAGGCTGAATTGGAGGCTGCAGAGTTAGAAGTCGACAGTCTGCTGAGAGAGAAGGCAGAGATGGAACGGGAACTGAAACAGGTGAAAGAGGCGCTGGGCGCAGAAAGAAATGTCTTGGCAGAGGCTCAAGGACAAGCGCGGCGGCAGGTTCGTGAAAATGGGCATGTGGAAAGCAAGCTTCTCGAGGCAGACGTGGAGATGACAAAGTTGGCGAAGGAGCGCACGGCTCTCGAAAATATACGGTCACAGCTGGAGGAAAGGTTTGTGACCCTGCTGAGGAGGGAGAAGCAACTTCGATCCCTAGAACTCGCAATCAGCTGGGACTGGGGCAGCGCATCACAGATTGGGATCCCTAATAAGCGAGGAGTCCCTCCCCAGCGAGATACTCACAATGACGACGAGAATGTTGCAGCAGAGGAGGGCGAACGTAGCCCAGGAGGTGGAGGTAATCAGCACCATGTTGTGTGCCAGTCGCATCCATACACCTGTGCTGCAAACTCGAAAGGTGAGAAAATTGCAATTTCTGGGTTTGAAGGGGATGGACGTAGTGAGCTTGGAAAAAGCAGCAGAGGCCCTCCAAAAGGTGATGGGCTTACAAGCACAGAAGAAGCGCAGGCAGAAAGGGATGCAGCCTTGGTGAATGAATTGGTTGCAGAGCTTAGAGAAGTGGTTAAGGAGTGGAAAGGGGCTACGCAGGCGGCGGAGAGGGAGATGGAGGAGCTGAAGGAGTTCAAAGTCGGACTGATCGAGGAAGTGGCGGAAATGCGGAACGAATGCTTGAGATGGATTGCGCATGCTAGGGAGAGGCTAAGGGAGCTGCGGAAGTTGGTCAATGCGAGGCAAGCGTCGGGAGCTGAGGACACAAGGACGAGAAAAGAGCTGAAGAGGGTGAAGACAGAGTTGATTGAGTTGAAGAAAGCTTGGGAGAAACAAGTGGTTTGGAACAAGGAGATGACAGACAAAGGAAAGAAGTACCAGGACGAGGCTGAGCGCTACGAGAGGCTTGCAGAGCTGAGGAGGAAAGAGGCCGAGCGGCTGAGGAGTGAGGTTGAGAAGCAGGAAGGAAGGGTCCACAGGGCTAGGCAGACAATTGCTGCGATTAGGAAAGAGTTGATGATGGTGAAAGAGATGAAAGCAAGCTTTTATACCGAACAAGAAGGGACTAGGGACATGCATTCCCACAGAGAGGTGGGAGACGCTAATGGGTGTGCTGCTTCAAGGAATGGAGTTTTCAAAGGGAAAGCAGGATTTTTGTGGTCAGAGTTGGAGGCGCATGGAAGAGCAGCGGCTGTTGGGAGAGGGAGAGGTGGTGATGCGAATGGGGTCCTTGGACTGGGAAGCCCCTACGCCGTTGGATCCTCGGGAAGAGATCCTGAGCTCGCGGCAAATATGGAGGAACAGAGTTCTGGTGGTCCTAAGGATGAATCTGGAAACCACCAGAATCTGTTGCGGCAACATGAACATGCAAATGGAAAGATGGAAGTGAGAATGAGAGGAAGAGGCGCCGAAGAGAAGGTTGAAGTGGGAAATCGAGCGGTCGGCGACGAGCGTGAAAATGCTGATAGAAAGCTGCAGCAGGTTCAGGCAGAAATTGGTAAGGTCATTTTCCAGCTTAAAGATTTGCAGGATAAGTTAATGACAACAGTGGAATGGAGGAACCACGCACTGGAGTGGGGAGCGGGGGGTGAAGAAGCGGCGACGGGAATGCGGAGTGAGGAAGCAATGATGGGAGCAGAAGGTGATGATGATCTTGCCAGGCAGATGATGAAGAGACATGAATATCGCCATCCCAATGAGCTGCACGCCCAGCATCTCGACAGGGAGATCGGTAATGGTGGTCTCGCAACAAATGGGGGTGAGAGTAGGCCTCCTGCGTCGTCTACAACCATGCTGGGTGGTTTGGAGAAAGAGAGTGCCGCCGCAGTAATGGCACTGTCAACTGTGCTGGATGGCATGAAGCAGGCACATTTGCAGGTCATAGCTGCCAGAGGAATCATGCAGGGACGGGATCGATGTACCCTCGGTAACTATGGACACGGCGGAAGGCAAAGAGATGAGTTGACAGTGCAGGTTCAAGGCTGATGAGGAGGATAAGAGGTATGGATCTTCCTTTTTCTTCTTTTTTTTTATAGGGGTGAAAAAAGAACAGAACCCTGAGGTTCCGGCTCCCTCCATTATGGGGAGCAGCAGTCCGGTTTCTCAGCTTGATAAGGCATGGATGTTCGTTGTTGTTGTTGTTGTTGTTGTTGTTGTTGTTGTTCGGTGTGGAAGTTCGTTTTGTTTTTCTTTTAGAGGGGGAAAAACGGCAACGTCCTTGGGATATCACCATGGAGCTAACCAGCCCTAGGTAGTTTAGAATTCTGTAGCTTCATTCGTCCGGTTCCACCGGGATTTGAACTCCACCCTGAATTTCAACAGTCCACGGGTGTATCAACTGAGCTAGACCGATGGGTGAGGTATGTATGTTTTGGACAACACAACTGAAAAACAAAATGACCCTTCAAAAATAACCCCGAACTAGACCGCAAGCGTATGTCGTCTGTGAAACAAAAAAGTGGAGAGAAGGTAGCTAGATGAAGACTTCAACAAATTAAGGCTGCCCTCTCGGTTCTCTCAACCATATTGGGGAGAACCGCATTTGAGACTTTGTGTGTATTCCTTGTATTCTATGTGACCTGCCGGTGGAATAGGAACCGGACTGACGCTCCCCAGAGTGAACAAGGCGTTGGAACCATAAGGTTCTGTTATTTATTTCTCTTATTTTTTTTATACCCTAAAGGGAAAACCGGTCCTTGCGTGACGCTGCCGCCGGGCCCAGGGAAAGTCGGGCAGGGAGGCCCGCGCGCGGCACCGGGGGGTCTGGGACGGCGATTAGAAATTGCACCGCGCCGCACGACGTGCCCGTGGGACGGAGCGCGCCGCATGACGGTTCGGGAGGGGCGCGGCGGGCGGGTCCGCGAAAAATCGCGCCGGGGGGGGGTGCCGGTTGGCGGGGTCCTCTTTGCCAGGCGGGGGTGTGTCGGCTCGTCGGTTCGGAGCGGGACGAGGAGCGGGACGAGGAAGGGGGGAAGAGCAGGAGAAGCAGCTGGAGGAGGAGGAAGAGCGGGAGGAGCAGCAGGAAGGGGAG